AAGTTTCGCAAATTGTTCACGCTTCGCATATCCCCACCAGCGTCTCCCTGAAGACGACGACTTGTATTGGGGCTGGTCGGGTTACGCTTTGTACCGGCCCATGAATATATTTTGTCGTGTTGAGCTGGCGCCGTCTCGGCGACTCCTCGCATTCTCGACGCTAAGATGCGTCTCCCTGAATTCCCCACCAGTCCGCTAATTAACTCTGCATGCTTGCATGTGCGGTCGGCTGTCGACAGTGACGCCTGGGTTCGCAGATTATCTGGCTTTGTGCCCCAGTCAGCCCGATTGACACGCCCTCTGGACTCCTCCTTGCGGGCCGCAGATCAAAAAAAACATCCCCACCAGCTTGCCCTGGCCCCGGCTTCTGCTTGCCCGAGGTGATACCCGTCCGCTCGTCAACACTTTGTGTGTCAGCCCTGTGCTGTCCCATGACGACAGCCACTCTCCCTCTGGTGACAAGGGGGCGGCGGCAGAAGCACCCCCCCCTGCGCACCACCCGCGTTTGCTGTCCAGCCGTGACAGCCACCCAACTCTCGGTGGCAGGGGGAAGTCGGCAGAAGCAGCCCCCCCCCTGCACGCCGCCCGGCCTGATGTGTCAGGCCCCAGTTTTGGCAGCTTCAGCTCCGGTGCGTATAGCTGCGACACCACAGGACTCCCCCATGAGGCGCATCCCGCCGCTGGCTCACTCCAACTGGGACCTCAGCGGCGAGTTACTGCGACCCCACGATGTAAATGGTGCTTTGCGGCGGTCAGCTGCGCCCCCCTCTCTCCGCGCAGGTGTTCTCGGCGAGTAGCAGCTAAAGATGTGAATGGTTTCTTGCGGCGGTCAGCTGCACCCCCCTTCCCTCAGCGAAGGTGCACTCGGCGAGTAGCAGCTACCCCTGGGCACACCAGGTGGCTGGCCACGCCCCCCGGCTCGGCTGCAGGCTCTGGCCGCGGGGCGTGACGTTGCGTCCCTCGCCGCTCCCCTCTGGCCCGGTGGGTGTCCCCCACCCGTGCCCTCGGGGCTCGCCCGCGGCGGCCGTGATGGCCTGTGGCCCTCTCCCCCCAACTCGCCCCGCGGGTCGCGCTGCTCCTGGTCTTCTTGATCATTCCAGCGTCAGTTTCCACTGCGTGTGGGGGACATCTGGTGTGGGACCACCCTTGAGCTCATGGGCAGCGCCATGCGGCAGTTTGGGGTGGCTGGCCACATCAGCTTCACTTCAGAAGGACCCTCCCTGGCAGGCAGCGCTGACGTCTCCACCACCATGTGCCGACCCTCACCAAATGTCGGCGGTGCTGCACGCCGTCGGACCTCTTGGCGGCAGGACCCGGTGGCACAGTTGCGCCTTGGGCTGTCGCTGGCCTCCGTCGGCACTGGGAGTTGGGCTTCGGAGGCCCTGGCTCTGAGTGGTTCAGCCTCCACCTGTACAGCCTGTGGTTTCCCCCCCGCGCACCGTCTCGGCCGCCAGCGGGCCTATCCGCTTCAGGTGCCGGACTCGGTGCGCCTTGGGTTGCCGCTGGCCCCCCCCCGGCTGGGTGGAAGATTCCGAGGACAGAGCGCTGAGTGGTTCAGCCTTCCGCGCTCTCGCAGCCTTGTGTCTTCCTCCGCGCTCTGCCCGGTTACACCGTGCAGCCGCTCGGCGTGGGCAGGTGGCCTGGAGTCTGGCGCCGAACTGGCGACTCATTCCGCTGTCTTCGCACACTCTCCTTGCAGCTCGTTTACTTCGGTTCACGCTGCTGCGCCTATGTGCGTTTGCTTGTGAATTTAGTTCATTTTGTTCTGTGCATGTGCAGCTGCGAGCTTGTTTTGCAGGTGCGAACTGGCTTGCCGACGTTGGCGGCTGTGTTCGCAAATTCGCACCGTGCCGCGTCCTGGACGCCGCTTCCGCTCCCTGACCGTTGCCTTGGAGCCGCCGACCAAAAAAGTATCCCCACCAGCTTGCCCCGGCCCCGGCTTCTGCTTGCCCGAGGTAATACCCGTTCGCTCGTCAACACTTTGTGTGTCAGCCCTGCGCGTGGTGCCCATTCGGGCCCGTGTTGAGTCAACCTGACACCTTCTCTCGCACAGGTACGTGGTGACCCGCGCAATTTTGGCCGCGTCGCGGCTATGCCGTTTCCCGCATTCGTGCGTACTGCTGCCTCGGGGTCTCTCGGCTTCCGCCACCCTGGGAGTTGCAGCCTGCCAATGCTCTCGCCTCTTGGCGTCAATTCCTTGGCCGACGGTCCTTTGGACCACCCTGGTTCTCGCACTTCGCCGACGTCCGGGGCTTCGCTTTTGCATTTCTCATTCCTACCTCGACTGACGGTTCGTTGGCCACGGCCACCCTGGTGCCCACGCAGTCATCTGAGGTACGGTATCGTGTTTTTTCTTTCGGAGCTGTCCCTGGCCGTCGTTGGCTTTCCGACTTTTGGCGCCTCCGGCGGACTTGCAGCTTTGCGCGCTGGCAGTTCCCCTCAGTCTCAGTCCCTTCAGCCATCCACCTGCCGTTGGGCCGCTGCGTGAGGCCTCAGCCGGCGCGTAGCTGTTGCCTCGCGCGTCGCCTCAGCTTTAATTTTCTCGCGCTTCCTCTGCCTAATTAGTCTCTGCGTAGCCCGCTTTGACCTGACTCGCCGCCGGCGCGCTCGCCCGCGGCCGCTGACAAAAAAATATCCCCACCAGCCCCATGGTCCTGGTTGCAGTTTGCGTCGCCCGCCGGCAGGCTTCGGGTTCTGCCCCGCTTCCTGGCACCACCTCGCGCCGCCCAGCAGCTTAGGCAGCTTGGGCAGCTTAGGTTCGGCCGTCGGTCCCTGTGCGCTTGGCAAGTAGGCTCGCGCGTAGCCCGCCCGACCTCTGACATTGCTGGCGCGCTCGCCTGCGGCCGCGACGAAAAATATCCCCACCAACCCATCCAGAAACGATACCCAGGCGCGTTGCATTCATCAAGGAATTGCCGGATAGCGCCGTCTGCGATGCCATGTTTGGTTCGCCCACTTTGGTGTTCATCATCGGAGGTTTCTCTTAGCCCGTTGCAGGCCCAAGCGCGGGCCGAATGTCAGGGCCAGCGGAGTAGCAACGAGCGTACACAGCCATAGCAATTTCGGCCGAGGGGCTTAATTTGCATATCTAGTGAGTAGCATGCCCCAAGGAATGCTCAAACGAGGGATTCGGTCTCAAATGCAGACCCTTCTACCATGGTAAGCATGGCGCCAGCGCATCGTTGTGTCGTTAGTGTTCGCACTCGCGTTCGTCAGCAGAGCACGCATAGTAACAGAGAGGGGAGCAGCCAGAAGACCGAAGATCGGCACGAGCGTCTCCTGAGCACGCTGGAAAAATTCAGGGGGGCGTCGAACCCCCCTATGAAAGTCGGGGGGGTCGAGCGACCCCCTTGGGCGCAGGCGATGCAAATGCCCGAAAGAGTCCCAAGCACGGGGGGGGAGCACCGCCTGGAAAGCATCCGCGGGCGCGAGCGCCCTCGGGCTGGAGACAACAGGGGCCGGCGTGGCGCGCGGAAGCCACCTCCGCCGCCGCCAGCCCCACGGCCCCCGCCGCAGCGTGTGCCCAGGTGGCGCCGCCCCGCCGGACCATGGTGAATCGAATCAACGCCGGATTGCCGAAGCACGGGGCGGTCCGAGGGCGGAAGCGCAAAGAAGGAGGAGGACCGGGGTCAGCATCGTCTGACTGGTCCCCATGCCCACTTGGCCACGGTGTCTCGGCCCCACCAGTCCGTCCCTTCAGGCGGGGGCAGGTCCCGCGAACAGCAGACAACCCCCACCCGGGGGGGCAAGCCGGCCAGTGGGACCAGGGCCGTGTCGGTGGGGATGGGGACAGGTCATAAGCGATGCTCAGGAGGGGATTGGGAAAGGGAGTCATGGAATCTGCTGCATGTAGCTGGTTTCGGCCTCGTCGACCAGGCGTTCTCCTCGATGCACGGGCGCTTCCGGCGCCGGGAGGCGCCACCAGCCACTCTCCTTTCCTGTCCCTTCCTGTCGTCCGACCCCAGAGGAGGCAATTGCCTTACCGACCACCTATCACACGAGCAAGCTTCAAAGCCCACTCGCCACTAGGCGCAGCCGATCCCCAGCCAGGTGCCCCCCCCGCAGGACAAAGCCCAGCCTACTCACTGCAAACACACTCGACGCTCGGAGGGCTGCGCCGACCTGCCGCCTGCCAGATCTGGGGAAACCTGGCCAGTAGGCGCCGCGGTCCCCGACCGCGCGCCGCGGGCAGGGCGAGGAGGGGAAGGAGGAGGATGAGGACCAGAGCAACCCAAGATGCAGCAAAGATGCTGCAATGCGCACACCCGTCCCAAGTCTCATCTTCACAAGCCCCAACAAGATTTGCTCTCCACTGCAGGAAATGCTTCATTGGAAGACGAGCTCCCCGTGGTCCTGCAATTCAGGCGCGAGCCTCGAGCCCCGTGTTGAAAAGGAGTTGATTGCACTGACATGGATGCATCTAGGTAGTTACGAGGGAGGACGGTGACGAGGTAGGACATAAAGTATTGGAAGGTGTTCAGCGAGAGCCAAAGTTTGAAAAAGCGTTGCCCACAATGCTTGCAATGTGCATCATGGCCAAAAAATCAAAGAAAGTCTCAAGAAAGAGCCCTGATCTGAAAATGAGCCGCCTTCCATCCGTATGCCTGCTGAACAGTATGAGATATCTCAGTAATAGCACAAAAGAAATAGAACGCGAAAGTGGTGCGTTGAAAAGGACCCAACTTCCGCCCGTGTAACTGATGGAAGCATTTCAGACCAATGTACGCGGCGCTAAGGCGAGAGCCACATTCTGACGCCTCCCCTTCCCCATCTATCTGTATAACTTTTTGGAGTTGATCCGACAGTTGTGCGCAGCGTCCAGGCGAGAGCCACGTTTTGAAATTGACACCCCACATTTGCGTAGTCTTTTGACATGTCAAGCTTCGGGGTCATCATCGGGGAGGTGGTCTCAGGCGAAACGGCTTGCCCGCCATACGAGGACTGCTGATCAGCTGTACTGAGAAGGGATGGAAGCGATACAACCGTCCGGGAGGAACATCTTGGTTTTTGGCCGTCTAGGGGCCATCTTGAACCCGTCCTTGGGCCGTGGTCTGCAGGTGGCGTAGAGGCCGCTCTGTTCAAGGCAACGCTGGCAGCTTGATGCCTTCCTCGGTTTTCTTACCCCGCCGTCCTGCCGCAATGTGACCCGGCGACAGGAGAGACCGAACCACCATGAGTTGCGAATGATGTTGGCGCTGCCCCGCCGAGCGCCAGAGCTGGCACAGAGCCCCAGTGCCAGCAGCGGGGGCAGCTCGGCAGACGTGGCCGCAGCGGCGCTCGCATGCCTGGCGGGTTGCCGCACCGGCAAGCAAGCCCTGGCCCTGACGCCGCGAGCGCCCTTCCCACGGGCCCGCCGGTGGCGGCCCGCGGTGCCCGCCCGCCGTCCTCCTTGAAGCAGGTCTTGCCATGGCCGGCCGGGCCGAGCTGAGGCGCCAGGTCGCCCAAGTCGGGCTGCTCGCCAGAGCGAGCGATTGGGAGTCCGCGATCCTCCTCCTGGGCCGTGCCGCGGGAGCGGGCGCGCACGACGCGAAGGGCCTCGTGATGCTGCACAGCGCGGTCATGACCGCGTGCTCCCGTGGCGTGCAGCCCAGCCGCGCTCTGCTCGTGTTCGAGCGCATGCAGCAGGCGCGGGCCAGCCCCGACCTGATCGCCTTCAACTCGGCCGTCAGCGCGTGCTCCAAGAGCAGTGACCCTGCACACGCCCAGCGGCTGCTGCAGGAGGCGAGGGCGCGGCGTCTGCGACCAGACATCGTGACGTACAACGCGGCGATGTCGGCCTGCGAGAGGGGAACGTCGCCGCAGGCCGCAATGAGCCTCTGGGCCGAGCTGCGGCTGGCGCGCCTCGCGCCCGACCCCTTCACCTACGGCACCGCGGTCGCGGCCTTTGCCAGGGGAGCCGCCGTGGCCTCGGCGCTGGAGATGGTCGAGGGCATGCTGCGGGAGCGACGCGCCCTGAGCCCGGTCGCCTGCAACGCCGCCCTGAACGCGTGCGCGCGGGGCAGCCGAGCGGACCGCGCCCTGCGGCTGCTGGCCGAGATGCGCGCCGGGGCGGTCGCTCCGGACATCGTCTCCTACGGCGCGGCCATCAGCGCGTGCGAGAAGGGCGGCCTCCCAGAGCAGGCGCTGGGGCTGCTGGCGGCCCTGCGGCGGCAGCGGTTGCTGCCCGACCTGGTGGCCTGCAATGCGGCCATCAGCGCGTGCGGGAAGGCTGGGCTCTGGGAGCGCGCGCAGGCCCTGTTCTGGGCGGTGGCGGAGTGGCGCCTGGGCCCCGACGCGGTCTCGTGCAACGCCATGGTCAGCGCGTGCGAGAAGGGTTGGCAGTGGGAGGCGGCCCTGCTGCACATGAGCCTCATGTCCTCGTGGCGGCTGGAGATCTGGGCAGCGAGAGCAGCGCACTTGCACGGATCCCGGCCAGGCCCATCTTGTGTCCAGCATCGTCAGTTTGTGCTGGCCTTTTGGCCACGTCAGGAGGGCTTAGGCACCGATCTTGGGCTGAGGATGAGCCTAGCCAGGACCAGTGGTTATTTGCATAGTTCTCGCCCCCCCAGGAGAGGAACGCCATCACCTGTAGCGCTGCCATCAGCGCCTGCGAGAAGGGCAGGCAGTGGGAGGCGGCGATGGCCCTCCTCCGGGAGATGCCAGAGGCAGTGATTGAGCCCGGCGCCATAGCACATTACGCGGCCATCCGAGCGTGCGAGGTCAGCGGGCAGTGGGCCAAGGCCCTGGACCTGCTCGAGTCGATGCTGGGAGCCCGCGTGGACCCTGCTGCTGCCAATAGCCCAGACGCCGGCTGGTACGTGCACGGCTTCGAGGCTGGTGGGCCTGTGGACGTTTTCAAGCACATCGTTCTCGTGACGCTGTTGCAGCAGATGGCGGCGGACGCAGACCCCTTCACCTTCGTTGACATGCACGCTGGTGCTGGGGTCTACGACCTCACCTCCGAGGAGTCGCTTCGGTGCCGGTGGTTTGAGGAGGGTGTGCTCCGGCTGTCGCACGCTGCCGACCGCTGCGGCGAGGATTTGGTTGCAGACTACCTGGCCGCTGTGTGGAGGTGCAACAGGGCCTTGGGTGCCTCCCCGGGCGCCCTGAGCTTCTATCCTGGGTCGCCTGCGCTGGCGTGGCAGTGGCTGAGACCACAGGACAGCGCCGTTCTCTTCGAGGCCGCCGCCGAGCCCTACGAGGCCCTGAGGCGGAGCCTTGCCCTGCTGGAGCGAGGGGCACGCCGCCGCCTCACGCTGCTGAAGGATGACTCCTACCTGCGGCTCACACTTGGGCGGTTTTCCTGGCCCAAGGGGCGGCAGCTGGTGCTGATGGACCCGCCATACGACTCCATCACGTCCCATGCAACGTGGAATGTCTTCGTCATCAGGCACCTGCTACACAGAGCGCCCTCCAGCTGCGTGGCCCTGTGGTACCCGCTGGTTGACCAGGAGCAGGTCGCAAGTCTGCACAGCCGGGTCCGCAGCCTCGCCGCGGGCAGCGTGCTTGTGGCCGAGATGCAGCTGGAGACCTCGCGGGCGCGTGGGGCGGCCTTGCAGGGATCCCAGGGCGTTCAAAACCACAGGGGTTCTGGCGAGGTCTGGCCTTTCTAATCCTCCCCCTCGTCTCCCCTCCCCCTCCTCCTCCCGAGATCTGTCGTCGCGAGATACCACGGAGATGCGAGCCGAACGGAGCTCCCGAGCCGTCTTTCTGCTGATTTCTCTTGTCCACGTCGATATGTAAGGGCCCCGCGGAGCGGAGCGGACCACCTGAGGGCCCCGCAGGCACGAGAGGAGGCAACCAAAAACACCCATCGCTGATTTGTGCTCACGGCGCCTGGATGTCAGGGCCAGGGGACGGTGGGGTGGAGGACGATCTTCGCCATCCCGGGGTCTTGGGCCGCCCTGAGGATCAGGCGTGCTGGTCGCCCGGGGGGGCGCCAACTGCCCGCCTGCAGCCGTTTTTGGCCAGCCTGTGTGCTGTGCGGTTGCGTGTTATTAGTGTGATGGTGTGTGTGCGTGTTCTGTGTTTACGTGTGTGTTTGTAGTGTGTTTGTAGTTGTGTTGTGTTGTGTTGTGTTGTGTTGTGTTGTGTTGTGTTGTGTTGTGTTGTGTTGTGTTGTGTTGTGTTGTGTTGTGTTGTGTTGTGTTGTGTTGTGTGTGTTTGTGCGTGGTGTGTGTGTGTGTGCTTGTGTGCGGTGTGTGTGGTGTGTGTGTGTGAATCCGGGTAAAGGAGAGCCAGGTCGCGTTGCGAAGCAAGGTGGTAGTACAATTGCGCACTTCCCGTCGTCGGTTGATTCACTTGTCTGCTGAATTCAACCCCACTGGCGCGGCAAAAGGATCAATTGGCATACATCTGTATATACTATATGGCTGAAGGATTGTCAGTGGAAGGAGCTTTTCACCAAACACGCAGGCCGACTCCAAAGGGGAACAGCGGGGAAGGGAGCACAGAAGGGCAAGGGCAAGGGGAAGAAGGGCACCCGCTAGGGACAGCACCGGCCGGGGGACGAAGATACCGATATCGAGGAAGTGAATTTTGTCGAGTTCAACGTTTTCTGCAAGAATGTACAAATTCAAAATACAGGCAGATTGGGGCAGATGTTGGGCGAACTCGAGGGTCTAGATTGGGACGTATTGTGTTTAAGCGAAGCCAGGGCGACCACAGGAAATGTCGATTTAGAAGGGGGCCATCGTTTAATCTCCGCAGTGGGCGACCAGAAGTGTGCAGGCGTGGCTGTGTGTCTGCATTCTCGCCATGCTGATAGAGTTCAACAAGTTCGTTCGCACGATGGGCGTATTTTTCGCTGTTGACGTCACCGCGCACGGGTGTGAGTTCACAATAATCGCAGTATATATTCCCCACGCTGGTTACTCACGTGATTATTTGTTCGACATCTATACGAACTTGCAGGCTGAGGTGGACATTGGCAGACGTGCTTTTCGCAGACTCGTCGTGGCCGGAGATTTCAACACTCAGGCACATGTTGGAGAACGTGGCCATTTATTACAGCGCTTGGCCCATCCAAACAACATGATCATCAGCAACGCTGCAGACACACAAAACGATCATCTACATACTCAGTGGAGTTTTCGCAGCTCTCTTGGGTTTAAACGGCGCCTCGATTACGTACTATGTGATTATCGTGTTGATTGTCTGTCATGTGTCCCCGTTGACGATTTTGACATGGGTTCAGATCACAGAATAGCGCGCGCTCGATACGTAGTCCGGCGGGCGCCGCGGCGTCGAAGAAGTGGCTCCAACCGCAAACCCCGATGGAAGCCATCAGTGGGGCAAAACGGGAAAGACCGAGCTTTTGGAGATGCAGTATCTACTTTGCTCCGGGACAAGCCTGCGCCAACCCTGCAGAATCTGGAGGACGTGGTAACGGAAGCAGCCAGGTCTGTTGCACAGGCCGGTGGTCTTTCGAAACGCCGGCCGTGGCGCGATCGTCATATTCTGGACCTGCGCCGGCAACGCCGTCAAAGCCGAAAGCCAAGCAGAAAGAGCGCGATTGTCGAAATTGATCAACAAGAAGCACAGAAAGGCCATGATACAATTCTCCGACACGCGGGCCGCGGAGAAATTGACCGAGTTCCAAAGATTATGGAATTTGCCTCATATACGTATGTTCCCAGCTCAGAAGAGTAGGAGGTGCCCCATCAACAGCGAGACGTTCCAGACGTCATTAGAGCAGATTTTTACCACCGAAGCGGAAGACGAAAGAGCGGCATGGTCAGACAGCTGTTGCGACAAAGGGCCTTACGACGTAGACCCGTTCACTTTTGCTGAATTTCGCTGTGCACTACAGAGGATGAAGAAGGGCAAGTGCGCCGACAGGCGAGGCGTCACATTGGAAATGTTTGTGCACGGAGGAGACGTTCTTCACAAGGTTTTGCTGGAGGGGATGAATGGCGCGTTACGCGACGGTGCCCTTGACCCGGCATGAAAAGAGACTTTCTTCACGACGCTGCCGAAAACCGGCAACCGCCGCGACGTGAAGAATTGGAGGCACCTTGTCATCCTGAAGATAACTAACAAGATCCTCGCGCGCATGCTTGTCGAAAAATTGCAGCCGGCGCTCGACGCCGAGCAACATTTCGACCAGGTTGGTTTCCGGCCGCGCCGCTCTGTTGATGATGCGTTCTTGGCGTTCGAGGAGGTCTGTTCGAAGTCTTGGGAGCACAACTTGCCGCTATAGATCACCAGTGTAGACCTTGCGAAAGCATTTGACAGGATCGAGCACCACGCCCTGTTCGATGCGTTTTGCAAGCAAGGAGTTTCTGGAGAATACATCCGGCTGCTGTCAGACATCTACCAGCACCAGACTGGCACTGTCAATGGCAGCACGAACTTCTACGCTTCGCGCGGGGTGGAACAGGGGGATGCATTATCTTCGCGGTTAGTCAATGCTGGCTTGGAAGCCGCTGTTCGCGACTTCAAGAGACGAGTGGCTGGAAGCGGCACTTCAGTCGGCCATTGGGAGAAGTTGCGCAACATGCGGCTTGCAGACGACATCTTCTTGCGCGCAAGCTCCGCTGGAGAAGCCATTCGCACGTCGGGCGTTCTCGCGCAGGAGCTAGCGCCAGAGGGCTCTCTCTGAACGCGAGAAAGACCAAGACCGTTACCAGCGACGCCAATCTTTCCGGCGCAGAGGACGGGGCAAGTTTTGATTTTGCCGGCGAGCAGCTGATAGCCATGACCGGCAAAGACTATCACAAATACCTAGGTCGCAAATTCTCTGGTGACCTGCGCAATCGCACGACTCGCAATGCGAATTATCGGACGGAGTTCGCGCGGGCCAAACATCGCGCGAACAGCCACGTTTTAACCGACAGGAATATCTCTCTGAGACTCTGCCTGCGCTTGTTCGACGCGGCTGCCACGCCAACCGCCGTGCGCGGATTGACTTTCACCGGCCTGACCGACGAGCACCGTCGTCGCATTGGCTCTGCGCGCTGGCTGATGCCGCGCAAGGTCGCGGGGTGCACCGAGCTGGACGGCGACGCGTGGGAAGACGCAGGGCGCCGCAGCAAACAGGAAACCCAGCGGGCGATGGACAGCGCGTGCCAGGTTTCAGAGTGGCTCCAAAATATTGACCGGGCTGGGTGGCGTCTGGTCCAGAAATCGAGCTCAGACTGAATTATTGGCCGCCCATAGTCACGCGGTGGACGCCCCACAACGTCAGCAGGAGAGGCCGACCACGGGCGAGGTGGCGCGGCATCATCAGCTTGGTCCTTTCCAGAATGTGAACATCTTTACATTGAGTTCAGCAGAGCGGCAGGAATTTCCAGTGGGCTAATTACGAGCAGGGGGCGGTGGACTTCATGGACACAGCGACGGCCATCCCACCGCCCTCCTCTTCTCCCCCCCCCCCTCTTTCCTCCTCCTTCTTCATCCCCCGGTGATAAAGGAATTTGTTATTTTGGTCGCCGGGCTGCCCCGTCGGGGGCGCAGCCGCACAGTGCCGAACATTCTGTCTGATGCGAAGGGTGTTATTCATGCATTGTGCACAGCCAGTCGTCTTGTTTCACCATGTCTTCATTTCCGCCCCCGTTGAAGGGGCGAGCAGCTCTCTGAGTCGCCCGGCTGGACTTGCTTGCTTGATGTATATATATATATATATGCAGATATCTATATATATCTATGTATAGATTGCGTGCGTGTGCGTGCGTTATGCTCTGTGTCGTTATTGCATACAGTGTGTGCATTTACGGGTTGTTACTTCTCTTCTAAAGAGCTGGGTTTGCCTGTCGGTCTGGCGGTTGCGTTGCTACCGTTGCTGCTTCGTCGCCGCCCGTCGTCTGGGCCTGTATGTCGGTATGGCGGCTACGTCGTTGGCGTCGCCGCCTCGTCGCCGCCCGTTGCTTGGGCTTGTTTGTCGGTCTGGCGGCTACGGCCTCGCCGCCGCCTTTACATTGCGCGACATAAGTTCTCCGTAGAAAATGAAATAGGGATCTACCCGCCCAGGTCAGCGGTGCAACTTTTCAGATTGTAGTTTACATGCGACTCTGCCTGGTCGCCCATCTTAGATGTGATCTCGCACCGCCCCAGGCAAGCCAGAGTTGCCCCCCCCCCCCACCCCCCCCCTCATCCCTTGCAGAAAACCGAATGCGCGCGCATTCGCTTTTTACCAACAATTTCCAATAACCCCCTGCAAATGGGACGAACTGCGCGCGCGTCGTCGCGCGCGCGTGCCGAAATCTTTCGAACACTATAGGTTCCATTTGGATCAAAATCGAGAATCACGGAAACGTATAAGAAAACACGCGGTTTCGCAACAAGGGTGTACCCCCAGCGCCCGCGCTCCGGCGAATTCTTAAAAACACCATACAAATTACAACATGTCCATAACATGCCACCAAAAAGGCTTGTCGCGCGCGCGTGCCGGAATCGTTCGAACGCCCTTGCGCGCGTGCTGTCGCAAGAATCATATTCTGGAAAAAATGTCCGAGTTGCGCGCGCGTTGCCGTTGCGCGCGCGCGCCGTCGCAAATATTTCGCGAATCTGTGTTTTATGTTTTTTTGTCGTGTATATATATATATATAATATATCAAATACGGTTTCGCAAGGATTCCAATAGCGAGCGCCCCGAAGACATATCAAACACATGGTTGTGCGACATCCGCTTTCGAGAATTAATCTGGACCCCGCGCGCGAAAATTCTGCGGCATGCTCTATGGAAATCGTACCAGCAAACTTCGGATTCGGACAGCTAAGCTCAAGATGCGATTTCGCTAAGCTGCATAAGTCGATCACCCACTTACGATAAGCTTGATACGAAGGTGCCCATGCTGCTGGCGTCGAACCCTTCAGTGCTCTAAGTAGCCCGAGGGGCTTAGTACCTGTGTGAAACGCTTGCAGGTGCTTGCTGCGCTTGCATGCCGCTTGCAAGTTACTCGCGCGAGGTTGCAACACATCGG